ATATGATGATTTATGTTATTAACTATTTTCAAAATTTCATTTTCATTTGTTTTTTTATTGTTAAATATTATTAAATAATTGTCTACGTATCTTTTTACCATTCTAATACCTTTTATATTTTGTATTTTTTCATCAATTTTTATCATGGTTAATTCTGCAAATTTTGGCCCCATCCTTGACCCCATACTAATACCATCTATTTGCATGTAATATTCATTATGTATTTCAAAGTAATTATTATTATATGCAAATTTAATTAACTTTGCTAATGCTGGGTTAATATTATTATCTATCAAGTTTTGTTCAACTAATTCCCATTTTATATTAGGGTACATATTTTTAACATCTAAACTCATAAGAGTATCAGTACTTTGGAATTTAATTTTATGAAAGGCATTAATCAACTCATCAGTATTTTTTATACTACTATTAGAATTATTAATATGATTTAATTGTTTTTTAATGTAAGTTTCTAAATTATACAGTATAGAGTAGCGAAAATCTACTAAAGGCCTGTATTGTTCCAATTGTTTATGTGTCTTTAGGCGAATATTTAATTTAGGAATTCTATTATTATGAAAATTTAATATTTTATTTTTATTTTCTTCATTAATATTGTTTTCAGAATGTGTATTCTTTATTATTTTAATGAGGTCCCTTTTTATTTTTTCATATGGGTTATTATCTAATTTCTGATATATGTCTTTATCAATTTGTTCTTTTAACTTTTGTTTTAAATTTTGCTTTTCAATTATTATCAGTTGTTCCGTTTTATCAGCTTTAATTATAGTTAAGTTGTTCTGTTTCATAAAGGTAATGGTTTTTTGTAAACCATTCCTATATTTCTTTACTTTATACATATTTTTTGTTGTTTAAGTTTAATGTTATGTGTAACTATATTTATAAGGTTATCTTTACTTTCTTTTTTAATAGGTAAGTCTTTAATATTTTTATCGATTGTAGCTATCGTATCTAATGTTATTTTGTCTGTAGGTATATTAAATTGATTACCCAACGCGAAAAATTGAGTTATATATGTAGGGATTTGAACATTAGACTTATTTATAATTAAATTATTTTCCGAATTTCTTTTTTCTTCTATATTAGGAAACTAGCAGACCCTGCCACGCCTTGTTGTGGCTTAAATGTATCTATTATAAATGTATAACACTTCCTCCGTGGGGGAAAATTTTTCGAAAAATTTTTTCTTAGTGTACATTCTCTTGACGTACCCTATTAAAACGCAATCAAAAGCGCAAAAACCCGCATCTAAAATAGTATAATAGAAGCCAAGTTTTTCACAGTAAGCCTTAATCCTGTC